GAAGCAAAAGAACTGCATAAGAGCAAGCCCAGCGTGGGCTATAGCTCGGGGGACAGTGGACAGAACAAGGGTCCGAGGGCCAGTGGATCAGCTCCAGCGTGGGCTAGCCCGACCGAAGGTGGAGGCCCGAGTTCCGGGCCCGTGGGGAATTGCCAGCCCGAGAGGCTGAGGTCATGTGACGTCAGCGCTGACGTCAGCCTGGCATCAGGCAATATTAATTTTTTTGTGTCAGGCGCGTGCACCTCACTCCCGCGTGGGGGCGCGTCGCTGACACAAAATCAGAAAGAAAAAAAACCTTTGTCAGTTACCGTTGGGAAGCCACGTGGCTTCCCACGGTCCGTTAGATCTCAACGGTTATTTAATTTGGACCGTTTGATTTTAACCGTCAAAAAAAATAAAAAAGTCTTATTTAATATCCACCGTTCCATCTGAGATCAACGGTGGATATTAATATGCTTTATAAATAAAAAAATAAAAGAAAAAATAGTTTTAAAATTAAGAAAAGTTACCGTTGTGACACGTGGCACAATCTGGAGTGTTGGAATTCAAATTTTTTAATATCCAACGGCAGAGATTAATTAATTGAATAAAAATTTAAAACAAATTGTAAAAAATTCAAAAAAAAATAAAAAAAAAAATCTGAAAAATCTGAAAAAAATTGTAAAAAAAATTGTTTTTACTTTTCTATAAATACCTTCTCATTATCATCTACCTTACACAACAATTTCATATTTTCTCAACTACTTTCAATCACATTCCTTTCTTTGTCTCAAAGTTTGAATCCTTTTTTTTTCAACAAAATGACCACTGGTGCAGGTACGAATTGGTTGCTTATTGAAGATGTTGCGTTGTGTACTAACTGGGTTGAAGTTACTCATAGTTCACTTACGGGTAATGAGATGCAGTTGCGAGAGATGTGGATTCTTATTCATACCAATTTTCTCAAGAAAATTGGTGGGAAAAGAACCAAAGAATCAATGTCTAGTCGTTGGAAATTACTTAGCCAATCGTTTAGTACGTGGAGAGACGTCTTAGCACAAGCTAGTAGTAATATTCGAAGTGGGGAAAATTACTCGGATCAGGTAACAATATATTATTTATTTGATATCCAAATTTACATTATAATTATTTGTTTGTATTATTTATTTGTTACCTACATAATTTATTATTTATTGTTCGTATCATTTATTTGTTATCTACAAAATTTATTATTTATTGTTTGTATTATTTATTTGTTACCGTCATAATTTATTATTTATTTTTTGTATTATTTATTTGTTACCTACATAATTTATTATTTATTGTTTCTATTATTTATTTGTTACTTATTTTCATTATAATTATTTATTTGTATTATTTATTTGTTACTTATTTTCATTGTGTAGGAACTTCAAGCACAAGCTTGGTACGCTGCCAAAACCAAAAGCAAAAATAAATCATTCAACAGGTGGGAATGTTGGAATATTGTCAAAGATTGTCCTAAATTTAGAGTTGTGCCAGTCGGTCCAGAAGTGCACATAAACAGCAGCCTTTTACACTCTACACCCGATCATGTCTTGCATGTTGATGAAGATGATGCAGAAGAAGTGCCCGAAACGCCCCTCCCTGAACAAGCGTCGGATTCGACCCGTTATCCAATTAGGCCTCAAGATAAGAAGGCTTCAAAAAGAAAAGGGAGTGCTTCCAAGAATGATTATGCAAAGTTCATGGAAGAACTTACTCGCCAAGGTGAATTAACTTTGGTGAGGGAACTGGTGAAATATGAGGGTGATAAGGCTAGAGATGACGCAAAAGCTGCAGCTATTGAGAGAGAATTTCAGGTAATGAGAGAGAAAGAGAGCTACTTAGGCAAGAAAGGGAAGTCTTTAGAAGGGAAGTCTCCAAATTCCAAATTTTTTTGAAAGTTAGAGAAAGCGGACGTGGTGCGAAGGAGGCGTGTAAGAGAAGCGATAGCAAGCCAAGGTGGTCCTAGCACCACAAGAGAAGATCATCCTAGCACACAAATTGGTTAAGTGATGATGAATAAAATACTTTTTGTAATCGGAGCCCATAATTTTCCAATCATTTTGGGTTGTAATTTATTATTTATTGTTTGTATTATTTATGTTGTTTCCAATTTATTGAATATTCATTCAAATTAATTTGGTAAGTTATTTATACTAAGAGTATATTTATTGAAATGACAAAAACACACCAAATAAAATTACATAAGCATACGAAATAATTAAAAACTCACTAAAAAAATTACATAAACATACCAAATAATAAAACACACCAAATAAAATAATATAAACATACCAAATTCAAAAAAACACACAAAATGAACTTAATTATCTTCAGCTTGTTTCAATGCCCACTGGTGCTCCATCAAGTCAATTTGTCGGGCATTGTGCATGTCTAGCATTTGAAATGCAGTATATCGTTGAATGAGTCTTTCATTGTAATGTCCATCCCTTTGTAATGGCTCATGTTGCACGGGCTCATCGGTGGCGTCATGAGCACAATATATACGTGTTCTTGAATTGTTTATCGTGTCTGGCTCATATTCATCAACGGCTTCATAATCGTACTCATCTTCCACAATCATGTTGTGAAGAATGATGCACGTCATCATGATGGATCGAAGCGACTCTACATCAAACAATCTTGCAGCACCTCTGACGATCGCCCAGCGAGCTTGGAGGATACCGAAACAACGTTCCACATCCTTCCTGCACCCCTCTTGACAGCTTGCAAAGTGTTTTTCCTTTGCACTCCGCGGACGTGGCACTGTTTTGACAAATATTGACCATCGCGGGTAAATGCCGTCAGCTAGATAGTATGGCCCGTTGTACATAGGTCTGTTGACCTCATACGTCACTTTTGGTGCCTTTCCTTGCAGGACATCGTTGAACACTGGAGATTAGGTAAGGACGTTGATGTCATTTTGAGCTCCCAGGACCCTGAAAAAGGCATGTCAAATCCATGTATCAAAAGATGCCACCGCCTCCAGAATGATACTTATTGCTCCTTTTCTGTCCCCGTAAGCGCCTTGCCATGTACTTGGACAGTTTTTCCACGTCCAATGCATACAATCAATGCTTCCAATCATCCCAGGAAAGCCACGCATCTCCGCCTTCTTCAACAGTCGTTCCAAGTCCATATTTGTAGGTTTGCGGAGGTACTCAGCGGTGTAGATAGATTCGATTGCTCCGCAAAATCTCATCAGGGACTCAAGAATGGTTGATTTCCCCATCCTCGTTATCTCATCCACTTGGTCTGCAGATGCTCCATATGCAAGCATCCGCAAGGCAGCAGTAATTTTTTGCTCAGGCAGTAGACCTATAGCACCAAAAGCATCTTTCTTTTGCACGAAGTAAGAATCATGGTTGCAAACAACAATCATGATTTTGTTGAACAAATGTCGTTCCATTCTAAAACGACGTCTAAAGTACGTATCAGGGAATGCACTATTAGGAACAAAATAATCATCCAAGAGTTCCATACCTCGTCTTTGCCTGCTTCTATCAAGGTTTCCAGAACGGCTGGGCTTACAGATCTGAGCCCCTCCTTGGATGACTCGACGGGAATGTGAGGCTCTGCCCATTCTTAGTTCGTCATCTCTCCTTTTACGCCCCTCATCCTCTTCCCTCTCATTTCTTGCCCCCTGGTGATTGAACATTGCTTCTGATTCGTTAAACAATTCTTCCTCTTCCTGATCGAGTTCCCACATCATCCTTGAGGAAGAAAAAGACATTGTAAGAAAGAAACAGAAACTATGAATAATGATACAGATTTTTGTGAATAAGGAAGCAGAAACTATGAATAATGATAGAGATCTTGAGAAAATTGGTGTGAGATTTGTGAGGATGGATGGTGGATTATATAGAGGATTCAGAAAGGATTAGGTTGTAAATAATGCCACGTGGCATGCCGTCATTCGTTACAAATCTGATGGAAATCTATCCTCAAAGATTGTGAACAGATTATAACACGTGGCATGCCGTTATTTGTTACAAATCTGATGGAAATCTATCCTCAAAGATTGTGAACAGATTATGACACGTGGCGCGACGTGATTGGTTAATAATCTTATCAGAAATTCATCACCAATAATTGTATTTTCAGATAATGACATGTGGCATAACGAGTACGATTAAAAAATTTATCGGAAATCCATCCCCAATAATTGTCTTTTAGGATTTTATGACAAGTGGTGTAACGACAACGATTAAAAATCTTATCCAAAATTACAAATAAAATTATTTTGTATTATTTAATAATACTTCGGATAATGACACGTGGCGCAACGAGAACGATTAAAAATCTTATCCGATATTACAATTAAAATTATTTTGTATTATTTTATAAATAAAAAAAATACTAATATTTTATTGCCTATTGCCAGGGCTATTGAAGTGTAACGGTAAAGATGCAAATGCTATTGCCAGGGCTATTTATTGTTCATTAAGGGCAATTACTGTTCATTAGATGGATTGAATAGTGTATTGCCTGGGGGAAGGGCTCCAACGCTGGAGTTGCTCTAAATCATTAGAGCAATATATATTATATATTAAACAATATTTAAAAAAGGACAACTCATTGGACGGCTGGATTTGCATAACTGAATCTTGATAATCAATCCCAATGTACTCTTCAAACTGCCACATCCCATGCACTAGTGTAGTTAGGTAGGACATGTTGGAATTATTCAGATGTAAATCAACCTTAAATGGTCTACATCATATAATAAGAATATAATATTAAAGATTAATGTACCTATTGTGATTTGATCTCTTAAAGATATCAATCTTATAATGTAACATTTTACAATATTTTGAAACATTTTAATCGCATACTTTTACTAACATTTTATTTTAATTTCAAGCGTCCGTTATAAATTCTGTAAGTTGAATGTTAATTGATGACTTGATAGTATAATTTGTCCACATAAAAAAAATTAATTTAAAAAAGAAAAAAAGTTTATGCCAAATGAGCGCCCCCCCCCCCCCCCACCCCCCTCCTCCTCCTCCCGTATGCATTTGCATCTCTCTCTTCGACTCCCATTACAGACGGGGGTACGTTGATGTCATCGCCGACAGAGATGAGCTCCTTGGTAGCCTTCTGGTTGAACCTACCTCTTCTCCGGCCAACTTAGACCCAGCCACACTTACACCTCCTCCCGACAACCGTTACTGACCGAACCCTCTCAGATCCGTTGCAGGACCCACCCTCTGCGTCTTCCCAAGTGACGTCGTCGTAGCTTCACAGCACCACCATCGACTTCCTCCTCTGCTGCGGAGACTTTCAGGTATCGCCGCCCACCTTCCCCAATTCCCCAAATTAACCCTTCACTCTCGCTTACTTGCCCTAAATTTTTGAGCGTTTTTCTGTACTCAATTGCCCTGAAAGTAACGAATTTTAGTTGGATTAATTGTTCAATTTCCCAAATTCGGCACTTGCAGTTCCCCGTTTGCTTATTTGCCCTAAACTTTCAATCTTTATTGTTGGGGGTAATTTAATTGTTTATGAAATTAGAGCATTTATTCGATCATGAGGAAAACTATTGGTTTTGTGAAATTAGGCTGTGAGGAATAAGAAGAACTTGGATAGCTTAAATTTGCATCAAAAGTTCACATTATTTTTATTTGTGGCTTGGCAATTGAAAGATATGTATTGACCCAGGTTGTAAACTCTAATTATTTTTATTTTTGGCTTAAAAGTTTTAAAATTTAAATTTCAATGTTTAAATTGGCTACTGGATTCATCATATAAAACTAATGTCATACCTAAGATACATGCACCACAATGTAGGTCAGCCAATTCTGTATCACTATTGTACTAACTGGTTGTCATATCCTTTCATATTAATCTTTTTTCATAGTTGAAAAGACTTTTAAACTGAAAAATAGTCCAGCTGTTTTTTGCTTAAAAGTTTTAAAATTTGTATTCCGCTTTGTTAGATATTTGGAAATTGAAAAATATGTATCAATGCTCGTTGTAAAGTTAATTTTTTTTTTGTTTTTGGTTTTGTTTTTGCTTATGTCTACATGTTACAAGAGCAAGTGGATCAGAGTTTGAAATTGAAGAAACCAAGAAATGGACACCCTCTACAAACTGCAGGACTACTACTCTTGCTGAGGTCTATTTCAATTCCTCTCGATTTTTTCAATCTGGAATCAGGATAAATTGCTTTTATCAAATCTATTTTTCTTCATATTTATAAATTAACCTAGCTAGGTAGCTATATGGTCTCTCTTTGAATTCCTTAAATTAAAACCCTCCAAAAAGTACACTTATAATGATTAGTAACTTAGATGCATTTAGGGAAAAACTAGGTAATAATTTGCATATAATTGTTTATAAAATATTCATGATTATTTCACAAGATTTGTGCTTGCACTTGCGTTCTTTTCTTTTTCCTTTTTGGGAGATCTATGGAAAAATAGTGAATTTGATTTTGGCTAAAAAGTTTCAAGATTTATGCCCCATTTTGTTTGTAGCTTGGCAATTGAAAGATATGTATCGAATCTATCGATCCAGGTTGTTAACTGTAATTATTTTTATTTTTGGCTTAAGAGTTTTAAAATTTAAATTTCAATGTTTGCACATCTGATGTTTTGAAGTAAGGTGCCAAGTCCTCTTACATTCATATAATTACATATACTTTCATGTTATAATCGCTGAATGAAGATGGTCCTTCTAGCAGTTTTTCTCTCTGGTTTTCAGTTGATTACTATTTATCTTTTTCCTATTCAATTCTTTTCAGGTTTGTAAATGTTTGGCCTATGTTTTACCTGTAGTTCAGCACACACTTTTTACAGCACATGAATTTCAGCTCAATAATTTCTTTCTCAACTGTTAATCATGTGTAAAACTCTTCAGTGGATCATTGCACATAATATTGAGTCTAAAAACTTTAGAATTTTTTGCTTCTTAATTTGAAATCTGAGAAAGATATCTAAGCTATATTTAATGACTTCATGTTTTTTTAATTGTGTTACATCTTAATTTGATGGTGTTCACAGAAGGATACATGTAGATGTAGCAAGTGTTTTGTAAAAGCCAAAGAAACTGTACATGGGCTGGGGTTAGCAGTTGCTATTTCATCCCACAGACGGAGACGCTATTGGTATTGAGTAATCTTCGAAGAACGTCACCTCTTCAGAGAAGTACTCTGGCAGCATTCGTTAAGCACTCTCCAAGGTACGGACTCCACCAATCCCATGTTTTAGTTTGTTTCTAATTTCTTGAGTTTTTAGGGGCATATTCTGTAATTAAAGGGGAAGGAGGAGTCCAAATTGGTTTCGAAATCTTGAAACTGGTCAAATTAAAGAATCAAAATTCAAAGATAATATGCCACCAATCACAGGACTCCGAATTCCGACTCTGCTGCTGCATTGAAGCATCACACTTTTCTTCATATGTTGGAAACATATTTTATTTTTTTGTGTCTTTTTGGGGTTTTTTCTTTTCATTTGTTGTAATTTAATGACGAAATTCGATTGAGACGAAAAATAAAAAACATTTTGTATTCTCATTTGTTGATCCATATATCGTATGACTTTATTTTTTTTTGTATGAATACTGTATGACCATATCTTATGTTTTCATTTGTTGTGATTTTGTTTGCTCCAATGCGGATGTGATTATGTCTTTGTTTATTCATGCTGTTTTGATATCATAATCGATTGTGTCTTCGGTTTGATCTGCTTTGTTTTTACAAATCTACTCACATTGCTTATAACACATTTAGTCCCTTAGTTTAACACTTACATACAATATTTATTATCCATTTGCTATTCCCGCGGCAACGTGCAGGCTAACGCTCTAGTAAAATCTAAAGCGTAATATTAAATGGTGTGGTGGTTGTAAACCCCTAGGAGGATGTAGAAACCGTTGACTTGTCTTACCTTAAGGAATATATTCCCATTTTATAGACATTCATCATACCATTTTCACAGAGTTGCAACTTCTCGTAAAGGGTGATTTGGAGAAGTATTTCCTCTTGAGCTAATTTGGAGACTTTCCTCGATACGCCTTAAATGGATTTTACATACTAGAGGAATTGATTTAACGTTGAATGATTTGTTCAAGAGGAATGAATCCTGTTTTAACATACATGGATTATACCATTTTCAGAGAGTTGTAACTTCTATTGGTTGGTCTAAGATACATCACTTATAGAAAGGTCATAACTGTTATGATAAATTATAAATTTTATTATAGCTTTTGTTTGTGTGTCGACCAGTCTTATGGTGTACCTTCATACATCAAACACACGCATTGTAAAACCAACATGGTCGTAATCATTTCCAAACACTCGAAAGCGTTTTCAGAGGCACTCAAGATGAGATTCTTTATTTTACTCCATATAATGTACGGTGATAGAGGGATCCTAAGTTGAACCTGACAGAGGTTCTTATGTTTTGCTAATGTTGAGGAAAGGAGATGACTTTTAAATTCTTGAAACTTGAAAAGTAGTTCGAAACTTCTCGTCAACCAATAGTGTAAGGGTAATGCTAGGGACTAAATTTGTAGACAAAATTTGCAAACTAAATTTAGTATCCTAACATTAATCATAGCGTAAACGTATTTTCCTTTCAAATATGTAGTTATTTTGAATTAAAAATCTGGTTATTAGTTACAGATAACTAATGGGCCTAGCAAAGATTTTCCAGTTTGGACAATAATTCAAGCAACCTCAGAAACGCCACTATCGTTTATATCAAGAGTACTATCCGCTGGTTGGGGGAGCTCTGTGTTGAACTGCGTCGGGAATTTAGAGACCACAAGCTGTAAATGGTCGGTCAGGAGAACAAAGACTTAAACTTTAGCGTGGGACTTTACAGTTTTGGTTGAGATCGGTAAGTCGGAAAAGGAGGTAGATGTCGCCGCCCAACCTATCATTTCTTATCCATAAAAATCACGTTTTGCAGGACGTATAATGCTTGACGAGCCACTTCCTCCGCCGATACCACTAGTCTTGTAGGTAAGTACACTGCCCTGCGTGACGAAAAGCATCTTATCCAGTGGCGCCCCCTCTCGAATAATACAGCTACCATCAACATAGTTAACTGGCTCAAGATGCTCCATGATTGCATCCAACACTTGTCTGTCTTTGTTTTCAAGCCCTGGCAACTGGGGTTAATTCATACATGTAATTAGAAACTTAAGAATACATCGATAAGATCCAATAAGCAACATCATTTTACTGAGACAGATGATAATCAACAGTACACTCACGAAAGCACGCCAAAGAACTCAAAAGGAATTCATGCTCCTATCTATACAATAGCTCAAATTCGTTAACTAAGGTTCTAAAAGACGCTAGGCACTAGTCGAGGGGTGGGCTGAGCCTAGCGCCTTCGCGGCTAGGCGGGCGCCTAGGCAGACTAGGCAGATTTAAGTAAATCTATTGTATTTCATGTAAATAAGTGTCTGTTTATACTTAAAATATATATAATTTCATCATAAACTAGAAAATAAAATGACAAATATATTATGAAGTATTGGAACATAATGAAAACCTGGGGAGCAAATATATAATGTGTGTTTTTTAAGTGTTCAATAAGTCTCTTACAATTTATTGAAAATAACAAAATGCAAAAGGAAAGTTATCTATTTTCTATCTAAGTGAGTCGCAACCTAGGCAGGTGTCTAGGCGAGCTAGGCGAGCACCTCAGCAGGTCTAGGCATCCTTTTTAATTTTCAAACGCCTAGGCATTAATCGGGACGGTGGCCAATTGCCTAGCGCCTAGACGGGGTCTAGGCAGCGCTTGGCGGGAATTTTTAGAACAATGTCGTTAACTAGTTAATTCGAAAAACCATCTACTGCCACAAGTTTATAGAATGCTATATAGAGCTATGCATATGGAGAAATTGAGAGAGATAGGACATTAGGAACTTACTTTCTTTAGTGTAGCCAAGAAGAGATGGCGCTTCATATGTTTCTTAAGCATCAATGGAAGTAACGAGACGATACTCTCCACAGGAAGATATTCGTCCTCTTCAAGTGCTTCTTTTACTAATTTCCAAATCGCATCACGTATCTCACTAGGGAGACCACATTCAGATACCATGAACTCTATTTGTGGAAATATGACTGACCTCCGCTGCGATATCTTAGATGTTTTGCTAATTGTCTGCATAAATGTCCACTCCACAACATGGAGGTTTGAAATTGAGTTTATTAAATCCTGAAATTTACATGCATATATGTAGAAACTACTGAAAAGAAAACAGATATACAAAATATAACTCATCACCGACCTGCAAATGACCAAGCAGATATATGAATAGTAGCAGGCCACTGATCGAAATAAAAATTACAAATAGGCTTTCCCATGCATAGGTACTAGAGTTGAGATTTGAAGTAAAAGAACCGCAGAATTCAATGGAGCAATATATTAAAACTGCATATGTACATCCACATCACTTAGTTAACCATGCATAATCGTCACTTTACACACTCAGGGAGAAAATTATATAGAAAATAGGGATAGGTCGTCACATCTAGGTTCGCATCGTTGTTTATGGTCGAGAGATAAATGAAGAAAATATGGATTGAGGATTTTTTTTATTTCCCCCAATGGTTTAATTTTTTGAAAGATATTTTCCTATTGATTTTAGTAGTTGCGTTCAACTCGTCTTCTCTTTATTCTTGTTCTTTTCATTTCCACTTATTCACTTTCACCATGAAAAGAACGAAAATTCTTGTCAACATTATTTATTTTCTTTTAGCTAACAAACTTCGTTTTAATTATTTGACTCGACTATAGCACACGCGGGTTCATATCATTGTTTTTCTCGTCAAGAGATAAATGAAGAAACTATGAAGTGAGGTTTTTGTTTTTTTCTTTTTTCTTCCATCAATGGTTTAATTTTTTCAAACATATTTTCTATTGATTTTAGCAGTCGTGTGCATCTCATTTCCCTTTATTCCTGTTTTTTTCTTTCCCACTTCTCATTTTGTCTTTCTTCATGTTCTTTTCTTTTCCACTTATTCACTTTACCAAGACAAGAACGAAAATTCTTGTCAGCATTAATTTTTTTTTTTTCTGGAGCTAAGAAACTTCATTTTAATTATTTGACTCGACTCTGTGACATCTAGGTTCACACTGTTGTTTTTGGTCTAGAGATAAAAGAAGAGAATATAAATTGAGATTTTTTTTTTTTTAAATTTCCCCCAGTGGTTTAATTTTTTGAAACATTTTTTTTTTTTATTGATTTTAGTAGTTGTGTGTATCTCATTTTTCTTTATTCTTATTCTTTTCATTTCTACTTATTCACTTTGCCAAGAAAATAACGAAAATTCTTGCCAACATTATTATTATTATTTTTTTATTTTTTTATTTTTTTTTTTAAGAAACGTCGTTTTAATTATTTGACTCAACTATGTGACACCCGGTACGCATCATTGTTTTTCATCGAGAGTTAAATGAAGAAACTATGAATTGAGGTTTTTTTTTTTTTTCTTCCTTCAATGGTTGAATTTTGTCAAAGATATTTTTCTATTGATTTTAGTAGTCACGTGCATCTCGTTTTCTCTTTATTCCTATTCTTTCTTTTCCACTTCTCCACTTCTTCACTTTACTAAGAAAAGAACAAAAATTCTTGGAAATTTTTTTTATTTTTTTTAGCTAAGAAACTTCATTTTAATTATTTGACTCAAATGTGACACATTTGTGTGCATCTCATTTTCTTTTTATTCTTGTTCCTTTCTTTTCCACTGATTCACTTTGCCAAGAAAACAATGAAAATTCTTGCCATTATTGTTTTTTTTTTTTTAGCTAAGAAACTTCATTTTAATTTTTTTACTCGACTATGTGACACCTGTGTTTGCATGAATGGTTTTTGTCAAGAGATAAATAAAGAAACTATGAATTGAGTTTTTTTTTCTCTCTCCTAGTGGTTTATTCTATTGATTTTGTAGTCGCGTGCATCTCACTTTCTCTTTTTTCCTGTTCTTTTCTTTTCCACTTATTCACTTTACTAAGAAAAGAACAAAAATTCTTGTCAACGTTTTTTTTTACCTAAGAAACTTCTTTTGAACTATTTGCTCGACTATGTTACACCTGAGTTCGCATCACTGTTTTTCATCAAGAGATAAATGAAGAAAAATGAATTGAGGATTTTTTACCAAGTGGTTTAATTTTTTCAAAGATATTTTTGTATTGATTTTCGTAGTCTCATGCATCTTGTTTTCTCTTTATTCTCGTTCTTTTCTTTTCCACTTATTTACTTTACCAAGAAAAGAATGAAAATTTTTGTCAACATTATTTATTTTTTAATTTTTGGTTTAGAAACTTGATCTGTCTACCTTTTTTGAAAAGGAAAAGGAAAAAGAAGAGAGAGAGAGAGAGAGAGAGAGAGAGAGAGAGAGCTGGGATGCTCTACAAGGAACGGGAAAAACTGGAGGGAGAAGGAGAAAAGAAAAGAATGGGAGGACAGCCAAGAGACCAAAAAAAAAAAAAGAAAAAAAAAGGAAGTAAAGTACGTAGTGTTACATTTATCATCTATTTGTATCATCTCTTTAATAGAGGTAGGATCAA